TCGGGCAGTATTAATTTATTTAACAATCGTACAATCATGCTACTGCCCAGAAGTCTTCAGAAAATGCTTTAGTATGTTCAAAACTATACGAGACATATTTTAAATGAACAAAGACTATGAGATTTCAGCTAGCATCTCATGCCGGTGTGAAGTTGGCACCTCATTTTTTAGCACCGCAAGTTTTAACGATAGTTCTATTTGCACCCACAATAGTTCTACAGTTCCTGATAGGTTATATCAATAGTACCGCCGAATTAGTTAACAAAATGGCAGGTTGAAAATATGAGGTGCTAACTTCCCGTAGCACCGCAATTTCCAAAAAATGCCATTTCCAGCACAAAATCTTATAGTTCTAGAATAGTTCTATAGTTCCTGATATGTTTTAGCAAAAGTTCTGGCTTCTAACCAATTTTAAATAATTTTTTATACTTAGCGCTAACACCGCACCACAAGAGTAAAGTATCAGTTAGCTGGCAGTTCCAGTCGACTTCTTGGTTTCTTTTAGTAGTTCTACAATAGTTCCAACGCTTTAGGTGGGTTTCGTCGTGATATGTTTTCCAACATCCGGATGAATAACTAGTGGCGGGTTTTAAAAGATTGTAATTGATCTGTGACTTCGGCTTGACGCCACTCACACCAACTGTCGGCTCCTTCAGGACAGTTTGCATACCTTAGTTTCGTATCCGTTGAGCAATAATGATCTAATGTTGCCATTATTACTTTTTTCATACTAACAACAGAATCCACATTTTTTCTTATAACTAAGCCGTAATAGTTTGTTAATCTTTTAATAAGTACGTCCGTCAGTCGTCCCTTTCCGCCTAGTTTTTCCTTTTTCTTTATGTTGCGAAGGCATGTACCCATTCTCTTCTACACGTGTCTCACGCATTCACTTTCTTTCACGGGATATTCATCACCATATGTATTGGTTTTCAAAATATTCAAAAAAGTTTTCGAATCGCTGTCTCCGATATAATCTGTATATATTTCGTTCCGAATTTTGCTTCAGACATTGAAAACATTTTAAGGATCGAATCCACTTCCATTTTTCCCGCCGAACCTTCATGATTTTTAACACCTTCATGTTTTTCATACCATTCCGTGTATTCGTCGGTGTCTTTCTTCTTGCTCCACACAGTACATGCTTGGCAGTATGAACTTTTTGTGTCAATATCGACTACTTTGCCACTATAATAACCGATAAGCGTTATTACGCCGTACAAGGAAGTGAAGCCACGTTTTTTTCAAGATCCGTCATCGGACACTTTTAAATGCGTTTCAGGTCTTCCTTTCTGAATATTTTCCTTCTTTTCTTCAACAGCTTTCTTGCTTACAATTTCAAACATTGATGACGCCGCCGAGTGAATGTGTTTCACTATTCCATCATAAGTTGATCAAGAGACACGGCAGTGTCTCGCGCCAAGTGCACGCGAGAGCGACGCGACGCGCACGGGCCGGGAGACCGGCCGGGTATTTTTACACGAAGCACTTAGTTGATCGGAGGTAAAATTATCGTACCACCCAAACGGCTAATCTGATCGAGTTCTAAGTGAGCTTAATGGATTCCTTGGGGTCGACTTATATAATAAAACTGTCTTTACTTTTGTCCTATGTGCACTGTAAGTCGAAATATTTTAGTTCAAAGTACGAAATCGTGAAAAACTATCACGTCCGAAATTCGTCGTCAAAATGTCCAGTTCCATCAGACCTGTATAGGTGGCGACTGTGAACACGCTTGTCGCTCAGCTGAGCCCGCGAACGTGTCGATCGATGCTTAACCTAACTTTTTTTGACAGTTGGATGTCGCTTATCTTATGCAAGTGTATTCTAAACAAATACATGTATTCATACGTTAATCGCAAAAACTATGAGTTATATTTATTATTATTATCCAAGGAATATTATTTTGTTATTGTTATGGTTGCATTTAAAGTAATTAAATATGTGTACTAAAAAAATAGACAGAAAATTACTTTTAATCTTCTAACGTAACAGCACTACACAGTGGTTACTCATTGTTTATTGATAAACTTGCTATCACCATTACTAATTCTACAAGAACTACTTGTTAATACTCTAGTAATTTAAAGAGTAAATGAGGTTTTATAGGAAGTAATGAGTTTGTACTGTTAGTGATAATGAGTAACCACTGTGTAGTGTTGTTATGTTATAGAAGGTTGAAAGTTATTTTTGTTTATAATTATTTAGTAAAGACATTAGTCACTTTAAATGCAACTGTAACAATAACTTAATTATATTTCTTGGTTAATAGTATAATATAATTAAAACTTTTATGTTTATAAATGTATGTAGAATACAAATATATGAGGTAAGTGATATCGACTTGTCATGAACAAGATCTTCAAAACTTGCTATTACCACTACTAATTCTGCAAGAACTACTTGTCACCACTCTAATAATTTGTGGAGTATCATAGAAAGTATTGAGTTGATATTAATGAGATTTTTATCAAGTTTTGAAATCCTGTTTTTGACAGGTTGATGTTGCTTACTTTGTGCACATGTATTCCATGTGCATTTACAAGATAATCACAAGTTTTAATTATATTATATTTCTTGGTTAATAGGATAATATAATTAAAACTTTCATGGTTATAAATGCATGTAGAATACAAATGTATGAGGTAAGCAATATTGACTTGTCAAGAACAAGATCTTCAAAACTTGCTATCATCACTACTAATTCTGCAAGAACTAGTTGTCACCATTCTGATAATTTGAAGAGTATTATAGGAATATTGAGTTGATATCGATGAGATTTTTATCAATTTGAAGATCCTGTTCTTGGCAGGTTGATGTTGCTTACTTTGTACACATGTATTCTATGTGCATTTATAAAGTAATCACAAGTTTTAATTATATTATACTATTAATAAAAAATTTTATAGTTTACTTATGAAACATGTAGAATACATGTGCAAGAGGTAAGCGACATTGAATTGTCAAGAAAAGGATCTTCAAAACTTGGGTTAAACATTACCAATTCAATATTAAACCCTACTCTACACACCATCGAAAGTATGATTATCATCTAAGCAAAATACAATTTTTTTCTTTCATGTTTCGTTATCTGTCAAAGCTTAATAATCATTGCATTTTCGATGGTGTTTAAAGTAAGATCTATATACAGAGTGCACGATTTATCTGAAGACATTGAAATATCTTGAGAACTATGCATTGGATAAAAAAAATGGTTAATGAAAGTTGTTAGTCTCGAAGGGGGACATCCAATGATACCAAACTCGACCTCTCACCCCACCCCCTGGGGGTGGGGGTTGGGGGCAACTTTGAAATCTTAAATGGAAACCCCTATTTTTTATTGCAGATACGGATTCTACGCCACAAAATACGTAAATTTTGTCTGAAACTTTTTTTTTATTCGTGATAGATGGCGCTGTAATCGCAAAAAATTATATTTTCCGCAATTCTCCAGAAATGATCATTGGATTGAGAAATAAAAAATACCTGTTCAATATTTTTAAAGAACATAATAAAAGTTATTCCCCCCCCCATCCTCTCGGGGTAGGGTGGGTGATAACGTTCAAATCTCAATTGGGGACCCACATTTTTCACTGCAGAATTGGATTGTACGTGAAATTTTTATTGAAACAATTTTTTCATTCGTGATAGATAGCGTTGAATTTTTCCGAGAAACTACTTTTAGCGTTACACAGGAACAACGACGAGGACGTAGTAGTTTTATGTTCCCTTCGGGTGCTTTTTTAATGTGAGTCCCCTTGCCTCTCACAGATTGGGGTGCTTTTTTAATGTGAGTCCCCTTGCCTCTCACTGTTCAATTAATTAGAGTAAGTGTTCGAAATTTTTATCTTCAACTTCAATACACTTATTGATCCTTTTTTCAAATGACTGTACACAGGATAGAAGCATATCTGCGGGAGTTTCAGCGCAAGCGTTTCTTATGCGTTCTACCATGTTTTCACGAGTTGTTGGCACTTGTTGATTTAAAAATATTGAACAGGTATTTTTTATTTCTCAATCCAATGATCATTTCTGGAGAATTGCGGAAAATATAATTTTTTGCGATTACAGCGCCATCTATCACGAATAAAAAAAAAGTTTCGGACAAAATTTACGTATTTTGTGGCCTAGAATCCGTATCTGCAATAAAAAATGGGGGTTTCCATTTAAGATTTCAAAGTTGTCCCCAACCCCCACCCCTAAGGGGTGGGATGGGAGGTCGAGTTTGGTATCATTGGATGTCCCCCTTCGAGACTAACAACTTTCATTAACCACTTTTTTTTTATCCAATGCATAGTTCTCGAGATATTTCAATGTCTTCAGATAAATCGTGCACCCTGTATAGAACAGGAATGCAACAGAAAACGGAACATGAAAGAAATAAATTATATTTTTTTAAGTGGTAATAAATCTCTATTCAAAATAGAGAAATAGAGTCTCTCTCTCTCTCTCTCTTTCGAATAGAGATTGTCGCGCATGCGCGTGCAGCCTGTCCAACATCGAAACATTGCTTTCAATGATTAATTGACAACCTCATGTAGATATTTTGACTTGTAATGTTAGAAATTGAACATTTGAATTCACTTGTTTATACTTTCCTGTTGTATATGTAAGTCCTATTCTAAACACCATCTAAAGTATGATGATTATTGAGTCTTGAAATGAAATAGAAAATGGATAAAAGAAAAAAATTATATTTTGCTTAAGTGGTAATCGTACTTTCGATAGTGTTCAGAGTAGGACTTACAAAAAGAAAGTGTAAACAAGTAAATTCAAATTTCAATTTCACACGTCAGAACATTTACAGGAAGTTGTTAATTAATGGGACAAATAATTCAAAATATTCAAATGGTTTATGATTTATTCTCTGTACAAATTAATCAAACAAAATAAATTTCTGGACAAAAAGATATTTAATATTATATAAAGTAACCGCCAAATATAAACTTAAATCGGGAAGATCCGCCGATACCAAACAACCTTAAAAATTTAGAAATGGACGCAACTAAAAGGGAGAATATTAAACTACAAAACAAAATTGAGATACTATTAAAGCAATAGCAATGGAGAGCAATATCAATTCTACCATCACCATCAATTTCGTCACTGGCACAAAATACACAATGAATTAAATTAATAAAAGAAGTTAAATCGACAAAAGAATATTAAACTACAAAACAAAATTGTGATACTATTAAAGCAACAGCAATGGAGAGCAACATTAATTCTACCATCACCATCAATTTCGTCACCGGGACAAAATACACAATGAATTAAATTAATAAAAGAAGTTAAATTGACAAAAGAAGTTGAATTAAATTAACAAAAAAAGTTGAATATTGAACCACCACGGCCTCTTCCGCGGATATACGGGTCACCGCAATAACCTTCTCTTTTCGATCTTCCCGCTTTCTGCCATCTTGGAGGTCCTGTAACAAATTATATTATATACACATATTTATATTATATTGTATATAATATATTTATATATTATATATAATATAAATTATATATAATATAATATATAATATAAATATATATATATTTATATATAATATATATATATATTATATTTATATAATATATATTTATATTTTTGAATTAAAAGTTATAGTATATAGTACTTGATGTTTCTGGTAGTATCTCTTCTTCTTGTGCCGGTTCTTTTTGTGCTCTATTTTGTGCCAGTGGCGAATTTGATGCCGATAATGGAGTTGGCATTGCTTTCCCTTGCTGTTGCTTTAATAGAAATTGCAGCGTTTCAATTTCTTTTCGTAGTTTAATGTTCTCCTTTTTTGTTGCATCCATTTTTAAATTTCCAAAATTGGTTGGTACCGGCGAATCTTCTTGATTTAAATTTACGTCCATCTGAAATTATATATGTAATTTACTTATTGCATATGTTGTAATAAATATGTGGCTTATCTATGCACATATGTCGCTAATTCACACGTATTCTATATATTCTTAAGTTTAACACAGGACTCTTTAACACTGTTAACAAGACTGTTAACAAGACAAGGACTGTTTAACAAAGGACTCAGTTATATTTATTACTATTACCCAAGAAATATAATTCTGTTATTGTTTCAATTGCATTTAAAGTGATTAATATTTGTACTAAATGAATATAGAAAAACAGAAAACTTTTATCTTTCTAGCGTAATAGTACTATACTACACAGTGTGTATTCATTTGTTGAAAAACTTGCTACGTAGTGATGTTATGTTATTTTTTAGTATAGATTCAATAAACAATGAGTACACACAGCATAGTATTGTTATGTTAGAAGGATAAAAGTTTTCTTTTTTTCTATTCATTTAGCACAAATATCAGGTGTAGTAAAAAGAAATCCATTATTTTTCCAATAGATGGCTTTAGTTATCTGTATCTCGCGTTGTATAAGTCCGATCGGGTTCCACTAGATGGCGTTAGAAAGATGAGATTTCGTACTAAAAAAACTTTTCTGACAGTTTTGTGATTAGTTGACTCAGTTCTGTTTGAGCGCGCGTCAAAGATGGACACTAGCAAAGAGAAAATACGCTATATTTTAGTTTTTCTTCGATAAAGGCGAAAACGCAAGCCAGGCGGCTGAAAATGTGAATAGTATTTATGGTCCTGATATTGTAACAGCCAATCACGCGCAATTTTGGTTTCGTCGATTCCGTTCCGGTAATTTCGATGTCAAAGATGCACCACGCACTGGAAGGCCAATTGTCGAAAATATCGGTAAAATCATGGACATTGTCGAGTCCGACCGTCATGTAAGCACTGTTTCGATTGCCCAAGAGCTAAAGATTGCACAAAAAACCGTTTGGAACCATTTGAATAAGGCTGGATACAAAAAGAAGCTCGATGTATGGGTGCCACACGAGTTAACGAAAAAAAACCTCATGGACCGAATTTCCATCTGCGAATCGCTGCTGAATCGCAACAAAATCGACCCATTTCTGAAGCGGTTGGTCACTGCTGATGAAAAGTGGATTACTTACGACAATGTCAAGTGAAAACGGTCGAATCGCGGTGAGCCGGCGGAAACGGTAGCCAAGCCAGGATTGACGGCCAGGAAGGTTTTGCTGTGTGTTTGGTGGGATTCGCAGGGAATTATCTACTATGAGCTGCTCCCCTACGGCAAAACTCTTAACTCGGAACTGTACTATCAACAATTGGACCGTCTGAAGGAAGCAATCGCCCAGAAGCGGCCAGCTTTGGCCAATAGGAGAGGAATTGTGTTCCATCAGGACAACGCCAGGCCACACACATCGATAGTGACTCGCCAGAAACTCCGGGAGCTTGGTTGGGAGGTTCTTATGCATCCACCTTATAGTCCGGACCTGGCATTAAGTGATTACCATCTGTTCCTGTCCATGGCGAACAATTTTGCTGGTGAAAAATTCGCTTCAAGAGAGGCTTGTGAAAATCGACTGTCTCAATTTTTTACCAATAGGGACGAGGGCTTCTATGAGAGAGGCATAATGAAGTTACCTTCAAAATGGCAACAAGTTATCGAACAAAACGGCGCATATTTGACCTAAATCGGATCATTCTAACTATGGTAATTAAAGCCTTCAATTTCATGCAAAAATAATAAATTTCTTTTTACTACACCTGATATATACATCAATTTAATAGTAATTGAGAGTATTATACTTAGTATTAGGTATTAGTATTATACTTAGTATTAGGTTACATAATCTTATACTATATATATATATGTATTAATAGAAGTAATGTATATAAAGAAATTTATTCTATGTTCGGATTATCTAATGGATACATTAAATTCATAATTTCGAAAAAACTATCAATATGTTTGTCAAAATCGTATGCTTTTGAAATATAAATTCTGCAAGATAATGCATAAAATGATAATCTCGTATGCCATATCGAGGAATTTTTGCTCGCATATCTCTCCACAATCTTTCTATGTTCTGTGTATGAACACCAGTCTCTGGATTTACAAAATTTCTTGAATGATTTACTGTTCTATAAGTATAATTTTCATAATTACGCAAAATATCATATCCTCGCCACTGATCTGTATATATTATAGAACCAGGTGCAATATATTTTTTAATAACAGATAGCAGAGTATCAGCACGTCGATTCGGTACGAGTAAAATGAAATATTTTGGTATCACGTTCTATACTACCAAAAACCCACTGTCCTCTAATTATACGTCCTGTATTATATTTTCTTTTTCCTACTTTGACTTCATATATTTCTACAATTTTATTCACTCCACCAATTGGAATTTGTTTATCTTCAATCCATTGTTGAAGTAACTAGAGATAATTTAACAAATCAATGTAATATTATTCATTAACAAACACAAATAAATAAATAACAAGCAGTATATTACTTACTTCTCGACAAAAATTCGTCCAGTCAACAATACTATGTTGATCTATTTTCAACTCATTCATTAAAAATGACTGTTGTGATGGTTGCATCATTAGAAAATAGCCGATAAAACGACAAATTACAATCAAATCCATGTGCATTCTTGAAAACCATGTTCCGTGAAATATACTAATTTTGAAGTTGCACGTTATTCTTTGTCGTTTTCGACCTTTAGTAACTTTATAATATTTGTTTGTGCAATGTAATAAACGATTTTCAAGTGGATTATTTGCTTTTAATAATTTTTTACATCGCGGACACATTATCTCATTTCGAACGACCTTTTTTTCATGTAAGAAATTCCATAAACTGTCGAAATTATATGTCATATGTAAATATTCATGTAAATATATTTTGAAAATTTACGTAACTCTTGGATTTACTTAAGCGACCAACTAGTTGAACGACAAAAGAGCAACTGAGAGTAATAATACAGATAATACGAAACATACCAAGTAAGAATATATACAATAGAAATAATCAAAACAGAACAAGTTTCGTAGTGCGGTGAATATATTCATATATAGCGCGTGTATAGCACGTGCTCATTCCTTAAATATATACACGGTGTCGGAAAATTACATTCTATTTGTGAAATTTTTTTTGTTAATTATTTTTTAACAAACAACGGCTAAAACCTCTTGAATGTCACTCAGTAAAGTATCCTTGATAATATACAGGGTGTTTGAAAGCTTATCATGCAGATGAAAGTTGGAGATAGATTGGATGTAGCTGAGAAGAAAAGTCATATACCATAATGTCAAATTGGCAATAGTTACCGAGTTATTAATTAAAACATGTGAGCCAACGAGCGCGTAGAGAGCGGAGGACGGCCGCAGTAAGCACGTAGACATTTGATACAGGCGGAGTCAGCTAGTTGCGGTGTAGGCAAGCGCGCGCGGCAAGGAGCAACGTAAGCGACAAGAGGCGAACGCGCGCGACGAGGAGCGAGCGAGCGCGAACGACGAGGAGCGAGCGAGCTTTTTCCTTATGGCTCGCTCGCTCCTCATCGCGCTCGCTCGCCTCTTGTCGCTTGCGCTCGCTGACTCCATTTTTTTTTTTTTTCAAATTGAAGGGGAAGATTTGAACTTTATGACGATGCAAACGGCGTCCCCAAAAAAAATTGTCCACGTCCGTGCATTTCGTAAAACTTTGCAATTTTCAGTATACCAAACATGCCCTCAGATATCAGGGGTTACAGGGGTAGGGGTGCATCGCATGCAAAAAATGAAGACATATTAAAATAAAGTAGAGACTTCAAGTTTCATTTTGAAACAAAATTCATTAGTCTACAATAATTTTTTGCGAAGTAATCGCCAATCAAAGTTGGCCAATTTTCGGCAATAAATTATCTATGCCATAATTCTTTTGAGCAGTGTACATCTCGAATCTCACACAAAAAAGACGGACAACCTTCTTACCTGCGACTGCACCCATGTCCTTACAAATGTTTATAAACTAAATTTATACAAAAGTTTATTTTTTATATTCTTATGTTCTTTAAAACGATGTAAAACGACTTAATCTTTATTAAATTGTCGAATTGTTGAACGAATTATAAAACGACTTAATCTTAACTACCTTTCTATTCAAAATTTTTTCTCTAGTTTTTTCATAGAATCTGATGAAGCAGGGTGTGTGCTAGAATGTTATCACCAACTAGAGTTTTGATATTTCACAACTTTTATAGAAAACATCCTCTTTAAATGTGTTATTTTTGAGATATTAGACCTTGTATATGAGCGTTATTAATCTTATTGTTCTAATCTTACTTGGTTAGGCATCCCGCTGAGGGCGGGGGAGACAGAAGAAATTATATGTGCCATACATATAAAATAATCTTTATGTTTCTCTTTTTCTAGGTTGTCAAATAATCTTAACAAAGGAGTTAGATGGCATACAGCTGGAATTACCCAAAGCAACTAGAAATTTCTATGTAGATGGACATACCCCAACTTCACATTAAAGAAAACTGCTTTTTGTTATAATTAGTAAAATAATACATATGAATAGTTGTATTTTGGATTATTATTTATATATGTAAATAAATAACAAAAGTTATTTATTTGTATACATACGTCTTATTATATATGTATACAAATAAAAGTACACAAATATAGTATTTAGATCATATATAATATATCAGAAAACATGATAGCGTCTCGCATTAAGTATAAGAGACGCTGTTGCATCTGCTTTACATGAAGAGGAATGCCTTTCGGAAGATATTAAGTGTACAAATGAATAATCCAAATTATTTTAAGCAGTTATGAAATCAATTTTAAATTGAATAGATTTTTCCGCTCTTTTGTGATTATGCAATGTTGACATATAGCTATTAAAAAGAACATATAGTTTGGCGAAAGGCCCAACATAACCTTCAAAAGTATTCAGTTCAGTACAGTCGAAAGTGGCAATAGATAAGGTACATATCCGACACTGCATTCTTTACGAATTCCAACAAGGAAAAAATTCTGCAAGAGCGTGCGAATCGATTTGTTCCTTTCTCGGCGAAGGTGCTGTATCGTATGATGTGTGCGCATTTTGGTTTAAGCGGTTTAAAAGCGGTAATTTCAGTCTAATCGACAAACAATGCCCTGAAGGCCCTCGGAAGTGTGGTAATGATGATTTGGAACAACTGCTCGCTGAGAATTCGGCACAAACACAAAAAGAGCTTGCAAAACAGTTGGGAGTAACGCAGCAAACGATTTCTAAACACCTACATGAGATGGGAAAGATCCAGAAAGAAGGAAAATGGGTTCCGCATGAACTCACTGAAACCAACAAAAATCAACGAGTGGCAGCGTGCCTTTTTCTTCTCAATAAGCAGCGTCGAAAGTCTTTCTTGTGGAAAATCGTTACGGGCGATGATAAATGGATACTCTATGACAATCCGAAACGCAGAAAGTAATGGGTAAATCTCGGCGAATCAAAATAAGTCGCAAAACTCAATCGCTTCGGAAAGAAGGTTCTTCTCTGCATTTGGTGGGATATCAAGGGCGTGCTTTATTATGAGTTGTTGGAACCGGGTAAAACAGTTACTGCGAACTGCTACCAACGTCAATTAATCTGCTTGAGTCAAGAATTGGAACGATAACGCCCATATACTGGCAAAAGAGAACGTCCAGTGAAATTGTTGTATGACAACACCAGGCTACACATTGCTTCCAATACAAAAGACACCATAATGAGTCGTGGCTGGGACGTCTTGCAGCACCCGGCGTATTCACCAGACCGGCGTATTGCTCCATCCGATTATCACTTGTTCCGGTCGATGCAACACGCCTTGTCCGATATGCACTTCCAATCAGTGGATGAGATCCGAAAATGGCTTGACGGCCTTATCGTGTCCAAAGACGTAACATTTTTCCGATATGGAATTCATCAGCTGCCTGAAAGATGGCTTAAAGTTATAAAAAGCAACGGCGAATACTTTGATTGAACAATTTAATTTACTTTCTTTTAAAATAAACCTTGAATGTAGCTGAAAAAATTGGATTATTCATTTGTACACCTAATATATTGTTGTAGTTTTTAAATAAACTAAATTTATCGTAAGAAATAAATATCATAAAAAGTGAATTTTTCCGATTAAAATGAGACTAGAATGTGCATGTAGTTGGGCGTGTGCGTTTTTGTGTTCCTATGCGTGCACATATACAATGTGAGCCAAAAGTCTGAATACGTTCTGTCTGAATACAAACGTCTGAATACAAATATCTCTCAAATGCAATTTTGAAAGAAAAGTTTCAAGGGTTGTAAAGTTTAAAAAGATCCATTCAATCATAATATCTATTTGACTTTAGCTGGCGTTTTCAAAGTCAAATTAATATCAACTAGATTTATTGAAATAAAATCCTCTACCTTTACATTCTACGATATTTTGCACATCGACATCAAAAAGAGTCGACGCGATCGATTTGGTTCGCATAATGCTCATGTTTCTTCTCGATTTTACTAGGTGTGTCGGTAATTCCTTTCCGGTTTTTTCGCTAAAGAAAACACGTTATTTACAATGGATAGTTAAAATATATTTATTCAAAGTATTGGCCATTTGATTCTATACATTTTGCCCATCTCTCAGGCAATTTATGGATGCCATTCCAAAAGAACTGTTTCTCTTTTAAGCTAAACCATTCATCGAGCCATTTTTTAACTTCTTCGAAATCGGCGAAGTACTGCTCTGCAAGCGCGTGCCCCATCGATGCGAAAAGGTGGTAGTCGGATGGAGCCAGGTCTGGAGAGTACGGCGGGTGCGATAAAACTTTCCATCCAAGTGATTTCAACACTTCTTTGACTGGTTTTGCTGTATGAGACGGCGCGTTGTCATGCTGCAAAATCACCTTATCATGTCTTTGAGCGTATTGTGGACGTTTTTCGATCAATGCACAGTTCAAATTGATCATTTGTTGTTGGTAGCGATCAGTATTAACTGTTTCTCCAGGTTTCAACAGTTCATATTATACGACACCAACCTGGTCCCACCAGACACAGAGCATGGTCTTGCGACCAAAGCGATTTGGTCTTGCAGTCGATGGGCCGCCTTCGCCAGGTGATAACCATGATTTTTTTCGCTTGGGATTTTCGAAATAAATCCATTTTTCATCACCCGTTACTATTCGATGCAGAAATGACTTCCTTTCATACCTTTGAAGCAGCATTTCACTGACGATTTTTCGATTTTCCAATTGTCTGTCATTCAATTCATGTGGCACCCATCTTCCTATCTTTTGGATTTTTCCCATCGCTTGTAATCGTTCATAAATTGCTACTCGGCTCACATTCAACTTTTCTGCCAATTGTTTTTGAGTTTGTGTTGGGTCTTCATCCAATAACTCCTGCAATTCCGCATCTTCAAACGTTTTCGGCCTACCAGGATGTTTTTTGTCTTGAACGTTGAAATCACCACATTTGAATTGTCGAAACCACGTTTCACATGTTCTTATGGTTGGAGCATGCTCACCGTAAGTCTCTACTAGCAAACGATGACTTTCAGCGGCTTTTTTCTTTTGATTAAATAAGAAAAGTAATGCGTGCCGCAAATGCACGTTTTCAGGCACAAAACTCGACATTTTAAAAAAATTATAAATCTATAACGCTGTTATTTTGGCGGAACGTAACTTGTGTAGTTTTGAGGTTAATGTCAGTAGAATAAAATGACATATGTATCAAATCATAGCATTGCATACTTATGGCTAGTGACATGTGTTACAAAAACCGGAAAGTAATTACCGACATACCTGGTATGTAAAGTATTGACGTCACGCGTGGAAAATTTCGAAAATTCTAGACTCTACGGACTCGAGCCTCTGAGGCCCCTGCTCTTGCTTGAGTCGTGCGAGCGTATGCGAACATGTTCGAGCAGATAGGGTTAATTTCGAAAACAAAAATTACTTAGTGATTGTTAGAAGACGATACCTCTGGTCTATGTCTACTCGAATATTTTTACCTGTGTGTGTCCCCTTGCTTTCGAAAAGTTTACAACGGATTTTGTTACCGCGAACTGGAGATCACAGGGAAGAGAGAAGAGGTGGTGAGAAAGGAATATACAAAATCTTTATACAATAAATTCACATTTTATTCTTATACATTTTTCTTAATACAGGATTGAATCTGGTACATAGGGATATGATGATCTAGTGATTTACGCTTACATTGACAAAAGATTTTCTTATACATTCGTACAATTAACTGATCGTTTTGTTCGCAATCATTGGTAAACAAATTTTTAAAGGTATTGAGATTATAACCCCGACACATAAAGTAAAGAAAAACAACAATAATGACCACAAGTCGTCGATAAGAATCTCTGCAACTGAGAGATATTCTACCGGTAAGTGAATTTCTTCTAAGACGCAGAAGAAATCGTGAGTCCCAAGGCGGCATCCCGTAGCTGTCGAAGTATGTGGCTGCTCCATTCTGATCGATGTAGAATACGACCCAGTGCTATCCTGGACGGTCGTGATTGTCCGTATTAGCGACTACTACCGTCGATCTCGTCCACACCCTCGGTAGTCTGTCGGCTGGATAGACGTCTGTATATCTGGCATTGAGATGTTGCAGTGCATGTTGAATTTCGAACAAATTCATTTTATATAATTTCGTTTTACCTCTGGTAACGTGATTGTTATAGTCCTCGACGGTTCGACGGAATGCTCCAACTCAATATTTGTCTCGTTTTTGTCTTCTTCAGTCGATGACTCTTCACTGCCCGATTTGTAGGAATAGCTATTTTCACTGTCTTCCTAGTCAATTTTGGAGGACAAGCACTGGGTTACATAGACGTTGTCACGTTTCCTGATGTTGATTTGGCTTTGTTCGTTGTACCAGTGTTTCAATTTGTATGCGTTGCGTACTGCACAGTGATGTCTGTGTCTTCTAAATGCATGGAATGAGCAAGCTTCTACACGTTCGCTGGATGAAAGAACACTGGACATCGGCGAGATATTCTCCAGATTATACACGTTTCGCGTTAACAAATTTTGCAAGTAGCTCACTTTTTCCTTGCCCTTTGTCATGAAGTCGCGAATATGACTCGTAATTTCACGCAAGCGCGGATAAAAATATTTCAGATTGCTCTCCCCGTCGTACCACTTGATTCCATGATAATTCTGTGAAAGCCAATTATTTATCCGTCTTGATTTTTCGTTCAATTCCGCAAATGAATACTCTGAAGCTAAATCCAATGTCCGACAAATGCCTCATTAATACCGACAATAGCCACCTCCTTGAGCACATAGACATCATTGCTATTGCGGAAACATTGCACTTCAATAATCACATCCATGTTCCCTCTGTATTCGCAATTCTGCTTCCCCCGAAACTGTACTCTTCACACCTCGAAGTCGACTGGGCTCTTTTCTCAAAACTTTTACTCAGGAGGAGAATGATGTTGAAAATCTTTACACTGGAAGGGGAATGAAGTCGAAAAGAAAAGTGGAAGACTCGTTTTAACCGCTATAATCTATAATGACTTGACGAGAAGAATCTATTAAGTTGTTCGGAAAGTTCGTTTCAAATT